AAACAAACTCCCCAGAGAGACAGGAAGTGGGGCAGGCAAGTGGAGATTTCTGGCACCAACGGGGGAGACTGGAAGGGAGGCAGGCAAGTGGAGATTTTTTGCCCCTTGGCAAGCCCACTCTGTAGACCGCTGAGTGTGCGGTATAGGAGTGAGTCTACTGAGCTCCTTCCTTCAGAAAAAGCCAGCAGCGCCCCCCTTCCTCCCTCCTCACTGATCTGGGACCAAAAGATGCAGCAGGTCCAGGTTCCAGTAGTGCTAACTTTCTCAATTGGAGGTGTATTTCTTGGCCTCTCTGAGCTGTGAGTCATTGCAATACTGCCTTCTCCACAGGTTTATGAAGCCCAGGAGTAACAGTCTGGGACCTGCAGAGCATCACACAATAGCGAGATGAGTAATGCTGGCCCCAGATACAGTGCTGCAGTAAGAAGTGACATCCAGGCTTGAGGATGGGTTACCCTGCCAGACTGGAGCTGCTGCTGGAAACCTGCTTTTCTGCTGATGCCCCTGCCTCACACCCTGGTTCCCCCAGGGAGGGCTTCCTGAGACTGCCACGGCCTGGCTGCTACCCCCGGCGTGAGCCCCACATCCTTACAGCAGTCCGGGGTTCTCAGAGGTACCCAGGCAGGGTTACCTGTGTGGAGTCTGGATAAATACTTTCATGCTTGAGGTGTTCTTGTTGTCTGAAACTGACAGTGTTTCCCGACACCCATTGGGGCTGCTGCCTGCACAGTGGGTCCTCTTCACCCCTCCCTGAGCCCAGGCCAGGAGCTTCCAGACATCAGAGTCTATGAGAACTGTCTCCAAGAGTTGGAGGCCTTCAGAGACCCTCGTGTGTTAGTTCCTGAGTTCATTTGCCCTCAGTTTAAGTCAAATTTATTCTTAGAGGAAAAGTTCAAGTTCCTTACTCTCCCACTGGATTTTGACAAGGAAAATTTAGAAAATTCACTTAAAGTGGTCTTCAAGTCAGTTTGTTCCTTCAAATTCAGAGCTGAATAGGGAATCAGAATAACTGTACTCTGTATGTACGGCAAATGCCTGCAGCTTGCCTGGGCCGCGCTTTTCTGTTAAATACAATTCCAGGGGCGCCCAATATTCTGTCCCCACTCTGCACGGGCACCATGTAATGCCAATGTCTGCATTTCTTTCCCCTCACATTAATAATCAATTTTCCTTTCGTAAGAAATAATTAATAAAGACATTAATTCATCTTTCATAGCATCTGCTATACAACTTTCTGGAGGAAAATAAAACAAGACCTCTAAAATAAAACCAGGAGCAGGCTTCAATCTCGCTCTGTAATCCCTCATATGCAGAAAGGCATGCAGCTCTCACACCTCAGCTAAGGAAGAATGTACTATACATGACATCAAACTTGGCTAAGTTGCCCTTTATTAACAAAAATGGCTAGCTTTTGGTAAATTCCACCATGTAAAACACACACCATGGCTGAAACACACACCAAGAGATATTCCCCAAGCTGAAGAATTTAAGAACATGTGGGCAGCGTTTACATAGTATAACCAGGGGGTGCCAGGTTCCCCCTTGGGTAACTGTTCATGAGAAACAATCAGGATTACTAAACAGTAACGAAGACAGCACAACAATGCTCTTGAACTTATTTTTTAGGCATCAAAGTAAGGTAAAGAAACTGCCACAGCAGTGGAGTTAAGGTAAAAGTATGTTTTCGCTTGCTAAAGAATATTCTTAGACGTCAACGTATCACAACATGATTACATATATACTGAGTTTTACACGAAAGACAAACAAGTTAACAAATCACTTCTTAAAAATAAACTCTAGGTTGCTTTTCTTTTTGGCAGCACCAGCCTACACTCTGGCTTTGCAATATTTCAGAAACTTCAGGTACATTACAGTCTTCTGAGAAAGGCCCAGTATTTCAGAATTCCCGGAGCAGCTGTGAAGAAAGAACATTACTGGCAGCAAATATTAAAACAACATTGCAAGACTTACAAGAATACATTCAGAGGTTTGTAAAAGTGCACACACTTAAGCATTCAGGTTAATAGTCTTAAGTATTTTTTTCTCTCAATATATTTACATTTCTTCTTGGTTTAGGGAAAGATATACTTTAGAGGCAGATTGTTTCAGCTGTTGATGGCTGATTCGACAGCCACGGGCCCCTTGCTCAGTGTATGTCTGGGCCCTGGAGATGTGCACAGGGCCAGTCAACTGGGTTTTCCCCATCCCCAAGGAGCTCACCTTTGACATACCCTCTACATGCACGAGAAAACTGTTCTTCTTAGTCAGGGGTTCTTTTGTGGTGGAATTTGAAGAAACTGGGTTGCCACATCTTTTTGGGGAGAGGTCGAATATATTTTTTCATTCGTGTGGCTCTGCGTGCTTAAAAAATTTGAGATGGTATAAAGGACTGAACCACCGAGCTGTGCACAGCATCTCAGGATGCCTGCTGCTCCAAATGCAGCCTGCAGACTCTCCCATAGCCTGAATGTGGAATTTGCCCACCAGAAAGCATCATTAAAATCCATGTTGGAAACTTTAAGTAGCTCAATGGTATCAACACCTTTCCCTTTGGCTTCAAAAATAATCACAACCAAACATTTTCAACTATGAGGCAGAGTTCACTGGAATAACAAACAACATCATTCCAAAAAACATTTAATGAGGTAGCTGAGATCAAATTATCAAACCCAAAGCATATACCAAGAAGCTTAATAAATGCTCAGGCATTTTTAAATGCAAATGGTGACAGTGCCTAAGAAATGTTCTTCCTTCCCAATTCCTGCAGAAGCATGCAAAGGGGCCCCTGTGAAGGGAGGACAGCGAGAGGAGGGCAGGCAGTGAAGCTGGCGGGGAGCAGAGAAGAGGGGCCCTCTGGTAAGGCCAACCTTGACAGGGTGGTGCTCACCCTAGAGAGCAGATGTGACCAGTCCCAGAGGACAGACACCAAGGAGAACTCAGGGCACCATGGGCTGAAAAGGGGCCTAAACTTGAGGTAGCAGGGAATCTACGGGCTAGCGGCCTGGTGTGCTGACACTGGATCCAGGTCACAGTCAGAGCATACCTCAAGCTACACACTTTCTGAGGTCCTGGAACCACTCCCACTCTGGAGGAGTCTGACCCCTGCTGCCCCCACTACATATCACCCCAAGTTCTGGGAGAGACCCCGCTCCCCTCTGAGTTCTCCTCACTGTCTACTTCCAGGCACAGGCTGCTCTATTCAAATGCCTTCCGTGTGGAGTCTTGGACAAAGGGAATGGTGGCCACCCAATCCTGGCAGCACAAGTTTTGTGACCTCCTGAAAGAGTTCACACATACACTGCACACATTTATATGCACACACGTGTACATAGTCACACGCACACACAGATGTGTACACACGGCAGTGCGTGGCAGCCATCCCAGGGGCAGCAAGCAGAGGTGAGGTGGGTGGGATGGGGTGGAGTGGAGGGGCCTGGGCAGGGCAGGGCAGGACTGTGAAGGACCCCAGAGTGCTCCACCTGGCCCTGGCCACCTCCCTTTCCTATTCTCAGCGAAGGGGACAGTCAGGCACCACTGCATCACACCGCCCTGCGCCGGAATGCACCAGAAACAAGCTGTGGGAAGGCAGGCACCGGGTCCCGGCGTTAGGTCTCCGTTGTATAGTTATTGTAGGCCAGAGGGGGCAGGGCTGGAAAGTTGCTCCACCGCCGCGCGCCAGGCTGGGGATCCATGCGTCCTTGCTCTTTATATTTACCCAAAATGTTTTTGGCTTCTTCTGCATCCCGCAAAGGGCTCTCTCCATATTCTTCCTTCAGCCACTGCCGATACTGGAGAGGGTGGAAACAAACCTGAATGTCACACAGACAGATACCTGTGTTTATGTAGACTTTGACCTACTACTTCATGATTGAGAGCTTTCCACACAAACAGGGAAATAAATTGGTATTGGGCAATCACAGCTCTGTGGTCAGCCTTCCAGTGTCAAGCACGAGAAATAACTGCTCCTTCAGGGTTTGGGCCTGAGGACATGAAAATAAGCCAAAGAAAATGGTCCTTCACCCAAAGGGAGGGAAACAGAAGCTAATATGGGCTACTAGGCACCAGGAATGTGACCAAGGGTAAGAGCCTGTGGCTGAGCAGGTGCACGAGAGAGCTGAGAAATCTTTTGAGGGGATATGGATGGGCACCGTGGGAGCCTTTTCAACTCCAGCCTCCGTGATTCTGGGTGTGTGAGGAAAGACTGAGGGCGCAGTCTCAAGGGCAACTGCCTACATTTCAGAGTCCTCTGAAGATGACTTACCTGGTGGACTTCATGCTTCTCAAACTCCTGGAGCTGCCTCTGGAAGCCTAGGTTAGGGTTGGCACAGGATCTGCCGGCACGTACAGTGTGCAGGGCGTCCTCCCAGCCGAAGTCAGTGACGGTCATGATATAGGCAATCACCAGCGTCACACTCCTGGAAACCCCAGCCAGACTGCAGGGCCAAGAGAAACACATGTGCAGGGGCATGGATCCATCTCCCCATCCATTTGGAGCAGGGGATTCTAGGGACATGGTTTTAGAAAGTCTTCTTGCTGAGCACTGCAAGCACACCACCAGGAGACCCCTCAGAAGCATACCAGCTTCCCTCCACTTCATGACACTAGAATCTCCAGCATCCTTTAGCTGTTTAGCCTCAATTATTGATCTTCTATAGGATATGGCTCCTGATGCCTTGGTTTGATGAGTCTCTACTGCTCCTGAACCCTTCCTCAGGTATTTCCCATTTTCTCAGACAGATAACTGAAGTATACCAAGAGAAAGTGAGGCTTCTATGATATATGGAACAAATCCATTTATGACCTGTATTAGTTTAGAATGCTTCGTGTTGTTTTAGAAGTCTGGTTTCTTAGTTATATGAGGGCTGGATCTCTAAGTTTTTAAGCCCCTGAGATACAGAAGCCCTTACCAAATATTACTTTCCTGCTCTTTTTTTGATATAAATAAGCAGAATGCCACAGCAGGCACCGTCCACGTGTCCACAGTGTGGGGTCAAGGTGCTTTACAGGCTGTAACAGTTAGTTACCGCTAACAGGCTGAAGAAAGGGACCAACTTTAAATACATATATGCAAATTAAGGTGGTCACAGAAAGGTTGTGCTTCGTCACGCTTAGGGTGTTCTAGCAACGGTTTAAGATGGGGAAGTTCAGCCAATCTGTCACTTTTAGAAAAGCCTGTCTTCATTCAGATATATACACGTGTATGAATTATGAATTCCTAGAACATTAGGCCTACTCATATTTAAATATATATATTAATAATATGAAACTCCCACTCTAAGTAGTTGCTCTTCCTGAGCGCTTCATTTCAGAATTACTGAGGGAGCTTTTACAAGACATACTGTTGGGCTGCAGCAGCCCTGGAGACTCACATTCCCCAGGGCCTGGAGAAGGTGAGGGGCGGAGCTTTAGACTTCCCTTAAATTGCCTCCAATTAACCCCCTAAAGGGCTGTAAAGGTAAATGTAAATAAATGTTAAAATCCTTCTATTTGTATTTATTACACTTGACTTTAAAAAAGTGAAGTCAGGGACAGCACCTGTGGCTCAGTGAGTAGGGCGCCCGGCCGGCCCGGTCCCATTTACCAAGGGTGGCAAGTTTAAACCTGACCCCGGCCAAACCGCAATAAAAAATAGCTGGGTGTTGTGGCGGGTGCCTGTATTCTCAGCCACTTAGGAGACTGAGGGAGAGGGTGGAAACAAACCTGAACGTCACACAG